TTAAGTCCTACATATATCAGGTCGAAACGAAAACCAGGTTAGTCAGTCCCATAAGATAATCTCCAAGAGCGTTTGCTCGGGCGATGTATGGCAATATCAATTCGTAAGCTTCAAGTATCAAGCGAAATAACAACAATAACAATAAAAAAAAAAAGAAAAGAAAAGAAAAAATTGTCTAATGAAACGAAACTCCGCCGCCTGTAGGCCATTTCCGAGTTGCTTACTGCCTCTGATTCAATTTGAGTCCTCGTGCAAAACTTTTCTTATGAAAATGATTTTGATTTGCGTGAAAATGAAATTACAGATGAAACGCATTTTCATAACAATGGTTTCGCACTCGGAAATGGCCTGTTGAAGTTTATTTGAGATTCTACCTTAGCATTTGCAGAAATGAAAAGCACGTGAGATAGCAAGTCATGTGACTTCGAGCTCAGTCTTGCGAGCAAATTTTTGGAGGTGTCTTATAGACTACCCCAAGAAGAATTAGTTGATATATGTGGCAGCATATAGTCCACTACATGATTGGTGGCAGTAGGTGGATGTGATAAGATCCCAACATGGAGAGGTAATTAGAAATAGGAAACGCTACGGTAGAATCTCGCTCAAACTTCAACTTACAGGTAAGTCTCGTTTAATTAGAAAAATTTACTTTGCTTTTGCATTCATTCGCATGCGAGATTTTAGAGCTCCCTAGGGTCCTCAAAAAAATAGGATAGAATACACATTCCAATAGGAACTATCCTGTAACAACGGTTTATTATAATAAACGGGAAACACAGAACTTGAACGCCAGCCAGCTGTGGTCATGAGCTCATCTAATGTGACATAAGCTAGCTTTGCAGAGGGAGTGGCTGTACTACTGGTGGAATGAGGCTTAAAAACCGTCAGATGTATTTATTCCAGCATCAAGCATAACCTGTTAAACACGCAATGAAATGGTACCTTTCGTTGCGGGGCCACGAGGCTTGCAATGACAACTTCAAAGTTGAGAACATGTACACTTTATTTGGCAGTTCTTGCTGGTAATATAACTGTGTAAAGACAAAAATATATGAGATTTTATCATGATCTGTTTTTTGAATACAATAGACTGTAAGTGTCTTTACCGAGCACTTCTAAGAGTTGTTTAATCAAGAGGCGACGAGATTTGGAAAAGGTATTCCTCTTATTTTGTTTTGTTTTTGTTTTTTTTCTGAAAATTACATTGCTCGTGGTGAAAAACAAATCAAGAGTTAGAGCTCAAGAAGAAAAAAGATACAGATATTTTTGCTTGCATTTTTGCTGTTTCAGTGGCACTTGAAATAAAGTTGCGTAAGCTTTGTTTTTCTTCCGGAGGCTGTTTGCACCCGAGGAATTAAATGATTAATTCAAATAAGATCTCTTCTTAGAAGGGAATAATTATATGAAAGATCTTTTATTTGAGGTGGCTGAACACAATTTTTTAAAACCGTGTTTCAATAACCTTTTTCTCTAAAACCCTTTGGTCGCCAAAAATGGCAACACACACGTCAACAACACAAGCTTTCGATCTTATGTGCCGTTGCCATGGCAACATGAATAAATAAGAACAGGCCTTTAAAATTGGTTTTGTTTATTCGCAGAAAATCAAGTCATTAAATTTTCTTTATCATTATTAATATTTGAATGCAAAAAACTTGTAACGACGTTCACAAGTTAAAACTATTTTACATAGTTCAACAGAGAGATCTTTGATTG